CCTTTGCCAGCTGCTGGGCTGTGACAATCGGGCTTCGACAAATAAAGAGATTCGCTAAAAATAAGCTCGAAAGCATGCGTTTGCCAGTCGAGCGGCGACAAGTGTTAAAATAGCTATTTGATATCGCTTGAAAACCCAGCTGCAGCTCCGTTACCGGCCGTGCACAAGGCTTACTAATTTGTTGAACTTAATTTTTATTAATTGAGCTTCGAAGGCAATTAATATTGTTTTATGCAAATTAAAATAATTTTCCAACAACTTTTATAAGCTACTATAAAAAGAAGCTTTGTATATTGTTTAAAATAAAATAAATTACAATATATTCAGTTATATTTTAAATAAAAATTTATAAAAACTGTAAAACTACTAAAATTATGCTTTTGATTTGCTGCCATTTAGCTTCAATTAAATTGACAGCCATAAATGAGGCAATAATTTAGTTTCAAGTAAACAACAACAAATGGGAACGCTGTGCCATATACGAGCATATAGGTATGTACATACATATGTATGTATAGTAGTATTATCGCGGCTAACCAGCGCGAGTGACTTTCGTTAATTAATATGATGCGTTTCAAGATCATTGCCACATAGATTATAAGCAAAAACAACAACTATGTTTTTCGCCACAGAAAGTGAGTTAAGCGAAGTGATAAAAAACGGTAGTTATTTGTAAATATATATACAGCTACCTGCGCACACATACATACGCGCATGCACAGCGTTGAAGTTTGCGGTTTTAAGCAGCGACAAATATGGTAAACAAGTATGTATGTATATATTTCTATATATTTACATATGTTACATATTTACAATTTTTTTGTACACATTTTTAAAATAAATAAATACAATTCAAAAATAAATCGTAGTTGTAGTTGATTAACGCTGATATAAACACAATTTCTTACTTATATACATACATACATATGTACGTACTTACAAGCTACACACACACACACTGTTATACTATCAATGCAATTGCAAAGTTTATAGAACAAACTGAGTTGTTAAATTACTAAAATAAAAACCTTAACTGCGGCCGCACCGACGCTATAATAGCCTTCACAGCTGCATTTATTATAGCATTAAAGGATTTAACAGATCTTACACTGCGCGTATAATTAGACCGACAGATGAGAGTCAAGGCTAAATTGACTCAACTCGTCACGCTGAGCATTTATATACATATAAAATATAAATAATTTTTAGAATCTCCGACGTTTCCTACTGGGTATTGCAAACTTCGTGACAAATTTAATATATGTATGTACTTTGTTCAGGTTGTCAAAAAAACGCTTAGAAAACACACTTCATTGCCGCGTTGTTGTTATTTGACGCGCGACACGCAATGAATCAATGGCGCGAAACATGTTTTTTTAATATTGCTATTAGTTTATTATTAGATAGAGAATTGCTTGTCAGATATAGTCATATTGCTGCGGCAGTTTGTAGAGCGATGCTTATGATTAGCCTATGGTAATTATAACGGTGCGATAAACCGGCTAAACGCTAACACAGTGAACCCCTGATAATGCGACTGCTTATGCGTTGAGAAAGTTCATATTTTGAAACATAGCCAGATGTGCCTAAAAATTATAGTTATATATGTAAACATAAGAAACCCATCACTCACATTCGCTAAATTATTAGTTGGTAAGCGATTCTTGTTATTGGCAATTAGAAATCCTGCTTAGCACACCTATTTGCAAACTTATAATATACAAGTAATATTATAGATTAGCCGCACTGCCAGCCCTTGATAGTTTCAGATCTGCGTGTTATGTTTATAAACAATATTATTTCTACACTTTGATTATAGCTAATAATTTAATTAATTGGTTGATTGCTGCTTAATTAAGAAATAGTAAACAGAACTATCAGCAGCGTGCTATTTATAACCAGAATCGCCAGCAATTGCTGTACTAGACCTCAATAAGCATAACTTTTACACACTTGCAAGTGAATATATTTGTTGCTAGTTTTAGAAAATTATAGAGTTTTATATTCATAATTTCAACAATGGCATTGTTTTTGCTTGTTGGCAATAATAGCTTCAATATTACCCAACTTACTTCAACAAAAAGCCCGATAATCTGTTATCCGTACAAATTAAAGCTGTGTTGTAAGAAGTAAAAGCTTGGTTTACCAGTTTGCTGGATTATTTTATTTGCATTTAACACACACATATTTACAAAATAAAAATTTAAAAATATAAAACTGAAAAAGTCAGCAATATGTAAGTGAAAAAGCTTGTCGATTCCCTCATATTCATATTGCCAAGCATATCATGAGAACCATAAGTTCAAGTTCCAGTTCAAAATCAATAGCATCATTCCAAAATCGTTGCGTATCACAATCGTCCATTTTAATACGAAGTGTTTCGCTTATTTCTGGGTTTCCTTTGAGGGATGAGCAGCGATGTATGCGAGTGCCTTGACAATGGCTTCTGGTACTGGGGGAGCTGTGGGCAAGAGCTCGCTCTGTGGGTGGTAACCGCTCTCGTCAGCAATGTAGTTGACACTGATGTGTTCGCCTTCGGGTGATATCCAGCCGTATTCGCCGTTGATGTTGCCATTTGCATCACCGTGTTGCACGACGTGGATGCTGTTGCTGGTCTCCAGTGCGGAGTCGAAGCCATCGGCGCGGACATCGTACGTCAGCAGACTGACTTCGGCATGAGCATCATCGGAACTGGTGCTGACAGCAGCGGCCGAGGCGTAGGCGACGAAAGCGAAGAGTAGCACCTAAAATTTAAATGAAAGCTGTTTAGTAATTTTTCTTTACTGGAAAATATATTAGATTTCAAGCAGTATCCCTGTGATGAACTCACGTATTTGAACATTGCTGTCGATTTGTTGGCAGTGATATCTATGATAATGGAAGGCTTGATTGCTTCTGACACTGAATGCATAACTTGGTAGCGCTTTTATAATCCAATTTGCTGCTAGATTTGAAGCCATCTTGATGTTTTAAAAAAACCGGGAATATGTGAACAAGTTCACTGGTTGTGCATTTGAGTGCTTTATTTTGTGTGTGTGTGTTTATAGATGACTGAAATTGTTTCTAATTCCCGTTGATTTGACCAAAATTCTTTCTTAATCTTTGTCGAATGCAAATTCAACGGCCTCCAAAATCCAGACAAACTTGTTATAATTGTTGAATGAACTGAGGCATAGATTGTATAAGCTACCTCCATTCGAGAAAACCAACAGACTTTTTACAATCGCCTATTCAAGACGAGATGCATAACAATTTAATTGCGCTTAAGCAATAAAGCCAGGCATTATTTTTATACAGGTTATGTTATTTAACACAAGATGAAGGGCATGAGAGAAACAGAAAGATATAGTTCATTGTGCGGAATGTCCTTCACTTAATTTCTATTAACCCATGCATGTGTGATTTCAGCAAAAAGCGGTTTATGCATTGGACTAATTGAAATGTTATAAACACCGTTTCGAAGTTGTTTGCCTCGGAAGCTTATGTCAAAGCTTTCTAACGATTCTGAAGATCTAATGATCCGTTCTAAAATACTAGTAGTTTGCTTGATTTTTATTTAAAAATGTTTCAGGTTTATTTTAAACATATAAAATTTTAGACATGTTGATGGATACATAAATATTATAGTCCTTCACAGTATTCCGCTCATATCTGTAGTTTGGTTTAATGATACCTTTTTGGCAGACTGATGTACCACGGTTAGCGGGAATATTAAGGCAAGTGCACTTGTAACAAACATTTATTGTGAAAAGTTTAAAAGTAAGCAGAGTTTCTTATACACAAAGCAACGTCAACATTTACATTGCTGAGACATGATGATATTCTAAAAATTGTTGTAAAGAGTTCTGCATACAGGAAAAATATGGAAGGCAATGTAGGTATTTAGATACAGTACTACACATGATATGAAAACATTGCATGGCGTACTCGATTTAGCCTAAAATTACTTCAGAAAATCTTATCCTCAGAAGGACCTTAGACTATTACTAAGAATATTCTTCAGCACTACTCGATATGTATGCAGTTATAGTTATAGAGCTATATTCTATGACCACTTTTTGTCTATATTCTTCTAATTTGGCCTACCTTTATGCGAGATGATGTAGTCAAGTAATCCCTCGTTGTGTGGTAATAATTGCTGGGTGGGAACTCACCACGTACATAAATCTCCAAAAGTTGAGATACCATTTCTTGCTAAGGCCGATTAGTTTGAGAGTAGGTAGCGTGGAAAATCTCAAGCCGCCATGATCTATATTAATCAATATCATGTTTATTTCCGCCTACGCCCACCAAAAATTTCTTTTATAGTGTACAAAGAGTTTTTGAAACCACCCCAAAAATTTCTTTCCTAGTAGACAAAGAGTTCTTAGAACCACTGTCATATAATTTAGCCTCCATGAAATGCCTCTCGGTAGCGAATTGAGTTTCGGTGTCAGTTTTGGTGTGATACGAATCAACGGTGTTTTGGTTATATGACCATTGTGCGGTGTTTCGGTTGTATGACCCTAAATGCGTCACCATTAGCTTAATGCTAATCGAGAAGAAGAACTTCTCCAAGCTATTTCATACTCAAGCAGGTATCAGACAAAACAGAGCACACATCGCTATTAATGAGTATGTGGGTCAACGAGTTAAAGTCTACAGCATAAGTTCGCAGAAGATGACTAGCACATATGAGTGTAGACATCGTATGTCTAGTCATGGGGGTTATCATTTGTTTACAATAATTAGTACAGTTTGACAGTTCGCTTGGTTTTTAAAGCTGCGTGTCTCTTTCAATCGTGTAGCTCATGTTTAATTTTGATAGCGATATGAAAATCAGCATATTCGTTGGACTAACAATGCCCTAAATTTATGCATTTCATGCCATACAAGCGGATGCTACGAGATAAAGATTCCGCTTTGACTTTGACCAGCTGCTGCTTGAGATCAATTTAATTTCATAGATGATATATAATTTGATAGTCTTTTACCATACGAGAAAATAGTAATCAAAAGAATGAGTTTACCAATAAAGTGGAGTGTTTTATTTGCATTTAGTACATATGTGTTTACAAAACATTAAACGTAAAACGGAAATAGACGACGAAGACATGGAACTATAATAGAAAATATTAGATTCTCATATCGCCGTCCAAGTCTTAGCATCGTCCAATTCTTGTTTGCGGAGAAATCGGCCACATTCTTTCATAATCAGTGCGTAACAATATCAAAATTTATAATGGAATTGATCTAGTTCTTTGAGACATCCTTTGGGGGGTGAGCAGCGATGTATTCGAGTGCCTTGACAATGGCTTCTGGTACTGGGGGAGCTGTGGGCAAAAGCTCGCTCTGTGGGTGGTAACCGCTCTCGTCAGCAATGTAGTTGACACTGATGTGTTCGCCTTCGGGTGATATCCAGCCGTATTCGCCGTTGATGTTGCCCTTTGCATCACCGTGTTGCACGACGTGGATGCTGTTGCTGGTCTCCAGTGCGGAGTCGAAGCCATCGGCGCGGACATCGTATGTCAGCAGACTGACTTCGGCATGAGCATCATCGGAGCTGGTGCTGACAGCAGCGGCCGAGGCGTAGGCGACGAAAGCGAAGAGTAGTACCTAAAGGTGATAAAAAAAACTCGAATTAATTGATTCTCACAAATAAGTACATCCTGCTTGCTTTGCCACCGCTAAGTTATGTGGTTACTTACGTATTTGAACATTTTGTAAAGGTGTGGGGATTAGACTAGAACACTCGATTGTTTCTGATGCTGTTTGCCAAATTCGGTGGCGCTTTTATAAGACCAGATTCGGTTCAATTTTAAGCCAGCTTCATTTACATAAAATCGGGAATCTGCTATAACCGAATTCACTCACTTGCATACCTAGATGCGGATGTGTGTGTGTGTGTGGATGATTGCAATTGCGTTTTAATCCCGTTGCTTTAACTGTGTTTCGACTAATGCTAATGCGCCGGCTGATAAAATCCAGCAAAACTTGTTCTAATTGTAAGAACATCTCAGTTATGTATTGTTTTGTCGCCAAAATGTACGCGCAACTGGTTAAATTTGCTTGATTTGCAATACTTTTTTAATTTTGTTTCATTTATAACGTATATTCGTTGTTTATACTCCAAAAAGCAAATTTGTCGATCATTGCACAATAGTAATATTCATTTTAATATTTTCTGCACTCTGTGTTTGGTTGTGACCACTTTCCCGTTGTTCTAAATTAGCCAACTACCACTTTGTCATTTAATTTTGTGAAAATCACATCGAAATTTATGGTTCCTTTATGACTTGGTGACATCTAAATATATACATCCGATAGTAAAAATAAATCAGAATTTCAGTTAAATAACTCACAGTTTGACCGATATATTATATATTGTACTCGAATCACTTTACACTACTTTTAACTAAATTGGACCAACATTATGTAAGTCACTCGTACTCCGATTCAATTAGTTGGCTTTTAAGTTGTACGTGAAAAACATTCCACAAACGATTTATGAAAAAGAGTTTAGACTCTAAAATTATCTAGAAGGACTAACTTGCCGTATATGCGAGGAATTCAGAAGTAGTTTCTGAAATGTATTGCTTTGTACGACCCTGAGATCATCGACAGTTTGAAAAACTGAAATTTGGTAGAAAGCTGACAAACGCGTATGACTTAGTGACAGGTATAAGTATATCATTTAAGCGTGTCTGATATTATTTCAACATTTTTGATTCTTTATCGTAGACGGCTTGATCAACTACTTTGTTCATGGCTTATGGAAATTAGCAGATGTGAGTTGACTTAATCTACGAAATCAACGCATTAATGTTGGATTTGTGAGTGACAGCAATTTGCATTTTAATTTCAGTCAAGCATTTCTGCTGGCAAATAAAACATAAATGTCACATTTCTTCAAAGTATTTTCGAACAAAATTTCAAAACTGGTTAACTTTTAAATGTATATGTGTGTGTAAATGACTTAAATAATACAAAAGCAACGGTAATTATTTGTTCCTTATTCGCATTTCACATCTTTCATTTTCAATTATTAATAATTCTTATATACATACAAACATATGTCTTTGGGCATCTCCAAACTTTTTTGTAACATTGTTTGTCTGATCTTCTATTACTTGTTGCACCCATATAACCGTATCAAAAGCAGGCAATAAATTTTAAACGCTGTTTTGGGTTGTGGGCGCGGTTGACCGCCTTTGCGTCAGATTTATTGACAAAATAGAGTAAAACTTGTCACACAGCTTACCTACTGAACTACATATGTGGTTACCTGGCCATGTATTTTTGCGCAGAAGCGCAGCGAGCAGAGCACGGATGCGCCGTAAAGTAGTTTGTTTGTTTTTGAAATATTATTTCATTTTTGGCGATGACAAGACTTACCGTTGGGACGCCAATAAATCTGTTGGCTGTCTCCAAACAGAGAGGTGCTACGCATATATTGTCGAATTTCGGCAACAAACGAAACTATTTCACGGTATAAATACCAATGCGTGTATGAACGTAGAGCATTCATTTGTCTGATTCCAACAAGCGATTACCTGGAACTTATTATAAAAATGTTCAAATCTGTAAGTGCTTCAATCTGGTTATGAATGCAAGATTGACTACCATTTTTGTGTTATTTTAGCTCATCTTCTTGGCTGTCATCGGGCTCAGCGTAGCTGCCATTCCGCGTCGTCCCGTCCATAGCCTAAGCAGCGGTGGTCGATTCGGCAGTAGCAGCAGCAGCAGCTCCCATGCAAGTGGCGATGAAGCTCACGCAGAAATAAAGGCCATGCGCTCCGATGTACGTCCGGATGGTTTCGAGTATGCATTGGAGACCAGCAATGGCATTCAATCTTCGCAGTCGGGTGATGTGAACGGCAATGTACATGGCGATTTCCAATGGGTTTCACCTGAAGGTGAACATGTGCAAATCTCCTACATTGCCGATGAGAACGGCTATCAGCCTAAGAGTGATCTTCTGCCAACTCCGCCACCAATTCCGGAGGCCATTCTCAGAGCGCTCGAATACATACGCACTCATCCACCGAAAGAGGAACCAGAGCGCCGCATTTCAGCTCCTTCCACTTCCTATAAGGCACCCAAGAAGCCCACTCCTCGTCGCAAATATTAAGTGAGCGGTGCAAAGCACAAAATGGTTAGCTCGTATGCTCGAAGTATTTGTATTATTCTTGTGTTTGTGCAAAAAGAACATTTTTTTTTTTGTAAAAAAATATATATCTTTTTTAAGTCAAACTACAAAAGAGTTTTGTTTAGTTTATATTATTCAAAAAAGTACGAATTATTATATGTTAATATTTATATACATAAGTATATTAGTCAGTTAATGTAAAGCGCGAAGCAAAAAAAGTGTACAAAGATTGTCAGGTTGAATCGAAGGCATCGATTAGTAGGTCAAGTCTTCATAGCTTATTCTGATAACGGTTTATTAGTTCATATGAGTACTCGCATACTTCTCATTATCGCAACTACTGAATGAGGCGTAGCTTCTCTTATACATCAAGTTGGTTTCACTTTTGAATGAAAATGCCGTTAGGGTCTTGGCCTTTGCTGTATTACTGTGCGATTCTCATTATCTGTTTGCTGGAATCTCTTATAATTCTCATATTGGTGCTAATAGAAGCTAACATCTTAGGTTTCTGTTCTCTTCCCACAGAGCATATGACACAGATACGACGCTGGGCACATGACTACAACTACTCCTTGGTGCGCGTGTACGGCGGCGCTCAACCTTACGTGATGATTACAAATCCCAAAACTACGGAAGTAAGTACAGGCACAAAGTAATTCACAACCTAATACATAGGAAAAGTGACCAACTTTACTTTAAGTTCAGACGAAGCACAGATGCTTTCGAATATAGTTCCGGAACGATAAAACTTCCTATTAAAAATTTTGCTAATTTATTCCAGCAAGTGCTATCTAGTACAGTGCTTATACACAAATATGACCCCTATAAGTTCTTTTATCCCTGGTTGGGTCAAGGTTTACTCACCGCGAATGGCAAACACTGGGTTAACCATCGAAAAATGATCACGCCTTCATTCCATTTTGCCATACTGCAAGACTTTCTTAAAATTATGAACGAAACAAGCGATCGCTTCGTGGAACTGCTCGCTGGTTTTGCAACGAAGATGGAAATGTTCGATTTTCAAGAAGTCGTCACACGCTCGACTATTGATGTTATATGCGGTGGGTGAAACCTACTTCCATAAACTTTGTAAAACAATAATAATTTTGTCTGAATGTTTTAGAAGCCGCCATGGGCACACCAGTAAATGCCATACAGGGTCCCACGTCTCCAATAGTGCCTGCGATTGCTGAGTAAGTAGTTCCTTAAGTACTTTAATATTGTTAAAATAACGCTCGTTTTGCAGCATCTGCGATGTGATGCGCCAACGGATCTTTAGCGCATTGAATCGTTTCGATTTCTTTTTCGTTTGGACCAGAGCGTATCAGAAACAGGAGAAAGCCTTGACGGTTTTGCGCAAAGAGTTTTCCCAGGTGTGTACTATCACAAACTCAACAAGATAATATGTTGATCATTGTGTATATTTGATTTTAAATTTATTTGTGCCTCATATCAGATCATTGACAAAAGGCGCGACATGCTGAAGACGCTCGATCAAAATAAGCTGAAGTTGGATGTAGATGGTAAACGTCCGAAAATGGCCTTCCTTGATAACTTACTAACAGCGGAAGTAGATGGCAAGCCTCTGACATTCCAAGAAATCTTTGAGGAAGCCTCCACATTTATGTTTGAGGTGCTTTTTGCTAAATAGTCGGGTTTTCATTTGATCAGAAAACAAGTTATAAAATATTTTTTCTTTTGCAGGGTCACGACACCACTGCTAGCGCCATAGGCTTCGCCATTTACTGTTTGTCACGACATCCAGAAATACAGAGTCGCGCCTTTCAAGAACAGTACGCCATTTTTGGCAATGATGTTAAACGTAGTCCAACCTTTCAAGAATTGAGTGATATGAAGTACATGGAGCTGGTTATCAAAGAGACGCTGCGACTGTTTCCCAGTGTGCCATTCATTGTACGTACTTTGTTGGAGCAAACTGAAATCGGTGGGTTTTCGGTGGTTTTTATTGATTTTGATTATTATTAAGTCATATTACATATTCCATTACGAATATGCAATAATATTTATTCACGATCTTTACCAACTCTTTTTAGGTGGTTTTCAAATTCCCCCAGGTACCTCGCTCGGCTTTTGTATTATAGCAATGGGGACTAATCCTCAACACTTTCCGGCACCGTTTGAGTTTAAACCGGAACGTTTTGAAAATCGCAACAGTAGTAATCCCTACGACTATATACCATTCAGCGCGGGTCCGAGGAATTGCATAGGTCTGTAGTCATACACTATACAAAATTGAGCATATTAACTTATTTTATTTTATTAGGTCAAAAATTCGCCATGATGGAATTGAAAGTAACACTTTCGAAGATCATCCGACACTTCAATATATTGCCAGCCGTGGATGGACTATCCACAGGCATACATGATCCCGCGGATCGCAATGATAAGATAAACAATCCTTATGATGCACGACTGGGCTTCTTTCTTACTTTAAAATCTGTAAACGGATTAAATATACGTCTGAAGCACAGAGTATATTGAGCACAGTTTTTTTTTTTAACTTTTAATGGCTTTACGGTTTTGTTATAGAAATAAATGCTTAAATAATTGAAAATCTCTACTATAAGGTTATGTTTCTTGAGAAAATTACTACAAATTTTTTGAAGAAATTGATATCTCATTCCTGTTGTGTTCTGATTTGCTTTGAAATTTGTTTACTTATAGGCGTTCGACCTTCTTTTCAGCCGCGACTGTATGCCATTCTCGAACTTGAGCGTCAATCGAATATTTAGTATGGGATCGTATTCACTTTGTGGCACACACTCTAAGCGTGAGTGAACGTTGATGCCATCTTTGGCCGGTAAAAGTTCCAGGTTACGCACAATCATTGAAAGCAGCGACTTCAGTTCGTACATGGCATACTTTTCGGCTGTAAGAGAGGAATGGCAGAAAGCATTTGCCATACAATAAAGGAAATGACAGAAATTATGAGTTCAGCGTATAAGAAAAAGCCCTAAAATACAAAAACTTTCACAGACACTCTCTCATTTATATTCGCTTTACGTACTGCGCTATTTACACTCCATTCAACAAGCAAAAGCGACAGACATTCAATGACTTACCAATGCATCTCCTTGGTTCGGCACTAAAAGGCACGCTATTGAAGGCCTGCAGACCTGCCGCCTCTCGTCCTTATTGAAATGCGCGCAGCGTTCGGGGCGAAATACGGTCGGCTCGTCAAAGTACTTTTCATTATAGCCCATAGCTATCAGGCACATACTAACGGTTGTGCGCTTGGCGATTTTGCTACCATCTTTCAAAGCAGAGCATAATAAAAATATGCCAAAGTTAAGCCAATAAACAATGTACGCGCGGCTGCTGCCGAGTAGGCGAAACCGGGGCAACACTTTCGCCAGTTTACGGCGCTTCACTTACTAATATCGATTGCCTTGCGTTTGGTGCGTGCAATTAATGACATCGACGGATACAGGCGCAATGCCTCGCGTATTACAAACTCCAAATAGCGCATCTGCCTCAAATGTGCACATAGGTACAACGCTAGACACATTGACCGACTGCGCGGCTGATTCAGTGCCGAAAATGCGTTGCTGCTCGTTGTAGACCTGCTCTTGAATCGCTGCGTGTTGAGAAAGCATGTACATTGTCAAAGATAGCGCAGATGCGGTGCAATTGTGTTCCTGTGAGAGAAAAATCGTTCGACCTTAAGAGTGAGTTGCGTTGTGTGAATAATACTTGTGCGTTGCCGGTATAAAATTTTCTTTTTGGGCTAAAAAATTACCCTTACATATACGTAGCTGTTTTCAATACAAAATAATTAAGGCTAAATATTTGTGGCAATTTGTTTACAAAAATCAAATAAAGAGTATAACAAATTTCTTTCTTTCACTGCACTGTAATAATAATTATTAGCAAAAATTTGTATCTGATATTTAATTATTTGGTTTGCAATATTTTGATTTGGAAAATACTAGAATTTTCTTAATTTCATATGCACACATACTGCTTATGTGGCAGTAGTGATTTTAAAAAAAAATTTTCTTCAATTTCCTTAACCGCGAAAATAAACGATTTTAATTTAACTTTAAGTAAATTTTCCAGTATAAATAATGCAATAAATTACACGCAGACAACAACAATTTATCTCAAATTGCTTACAACATTTCAGCAACATGCACACACATTCTTATTACTGTTACCATGCTTACCGTAAATATTATATAAATGTGGAGAGCTCTTCGAATATTTCGTTATTGGTCAACGCACGCCAATCCAACTTTGCACATCAAGCACATCAAGGAACGGACGCACCATTGCACTGGTTGCCGGCTGCTGCTACTGAACCCCTAGCGGCTGGTGCGCTTGCTGAGCCAGCGACGCCTGCAGACTTACTCAACGTTGCTCGACAATCTTTTAATTAAAATGCGAGCAATAAAACTACATATTTACAAAAAAAAAATAAAAAACATCGAAAATATAACACGTGCAGGCTACGCTCCGGCTGAAATGGCGCTGACGTTCGACAAAGTGCACTCAATTAACATTTTTCGCATATTGCATTTTCAGGTCGAAAGGGCGCATGCATGTATATGTGTGTATGCATACATACGCACATATGCGCATGTGTCAACTGCTGGCGTCACTAAAGATGCAATACATTTCAATACTTTGGTTGGACATTTTGCTGAAGACGTGCGCCAAACGCTTAACAACAGCGTTTTACTTATTAATTTTGAAATATGCGCATGCAAATGTAAATTTGTATGCAAGTGTGCGGTAATCACCAGCAGTTGGCACCCAAGCAAAAGCTTTTAAGAATAATCCAAAACAAACTGTGATGGAAGGTATTTGCGTGCGCTATAAGAGACCGAGAAAAAGAATCTTTCAAAAACGCTATTTGAGGTAAATCTTCAATAATATGAGTGCGTGCATGGAATTATGTGCGATTTTATTGAGTTCATGAGCGCAGTGCCATTACACCTTTGTTCATTTTGTTGAGCATTTCGCTTAATCCCGCGCATGTGTATTTGTGTGAGCGTAAACTACACTGCTTGGGAAATGTGAATGGCGAAATATTCTTATTTGACGGTCATTGCTTAAAGATAAATCGCATGCATTGAATTTACAAC